CACAGACACACACCTTTTATTTATTGATTTTTTTTGAAACAGTCTTGAATTTTGGTCTTCCTGTCTCAAACCGTGGAACAGCTGGGATTACATGGGATTACAGGCATACACCACCAGACCCAGGCCAGACTCATTTATTTGTATTTTATTTGCTTATTGTTTTAATTTTTAATTTTAGTTTTATTTGTGCTTATATGTCTGTATATGTATATGCCACATACATGCAGTACCCTAATTGGCCAGAAGAGGGCATCAGATCCCTTGGAGCTGGACTTCCAAGCACTTGTAACCTGCCTAATGTGAGTACTGGGAATTGAATCCATGACCAATGCAAGAGCAGCAAATGCTATTAACCATTCTTTTTACTTTTTTTTTTTTTTTGCTTTTTTTTTTTTTCGGAGACAGGGTTTCTCTGTGGTTTTGGAGCCTGTCCTGGAACTAGCTCTTGTAGACCAGGCTGGTCTCAAACTCACAGAGATCCGCCTGCCTCTGCCTCCCAAGTGCTGGGATTAAAGACGTGCGCCACCACCGCCCGGCTCTTTTTACATTTTTGTCTAAAATTAGAAATGTGTGTGTGTGTGTGTGTGTGTGTGTGCACATAAGTGTAGGTGTCCATGGTGGACGGAGTGCTAGATCACCCTGGAGCTGAAGTTACAGGTGGTTGTGAGCATCCCTCAAGTATACCGGGAACCAACTCAGGTTCTCTACAAGAGCAATGCATGATCTTAATAGCTAAAACACTGCTTCAATCCCTCGTTTTCCTTTCCCTTTTTCCTTTTTTTGTTTTGGTTTCAAGACAGAGTTTCTCTGTGTGACAACCCTAGCTGTCCTGGAACTCACTTTTTAGATCAGGCTGGTCTCAGGCTCACCGAGATCCATCTGCCTCCTGAATGCTGGAATTAAAGGTATTAATTTTTATTTTTATTTATTAATTGGTGTATATTTCTTTTAATAAATGCTTTTTTATTTGTTTTGAGACAAAGTCTCACTATGTAGCCTTGGCTGGCCTGGAACTTGCTTTTTAGACTAGGCTGGCCTTGAATTTATATAGATCTGCCTGCCTGCTAGGATTAAAGTCAGGTAACACCACACCCGACTGTTTTCCTTTGTTGGAAGCAGAGCCTATGTAGCCCTGGCTAGCCCATGTAGACCAGGCTGGTCCTGCTCACTTCAGCAGTGTCGGTTATCATCATCTACAAAGTTTTGTTGGAACCGTTCTTCTGTTGCGTGACACGTGTCCCCAGTTAGGCAAGATGGTGCTCAGCTGTGATTCCTGCATGGGGGGCTGACGTCACAAGATGGTGCGCAGCTGTGATTCCTGCATGGGGGGCTGACGTCACAAGATGGTGCACAGCTGTGATTCCTGCATGGGGGCTGACGTCACAAGATGGTGCGCAGCTGTGATTCCTGCATGGGGGGCTGACGTCACAAGATGGTGCGCAGCTGTGATTCCTGCATGGGGGGCTGACGTCACAAGATGGTGCGCAGCTGTGATTCCTGCATGGGGGACTGATGTCACAAGATGGTGTCCAGCTGTGATTCCTGCATAGGGGCTGATGTCACAAGATGGTGTCCAGCTGTGATTCCTGCATGGGGGCTGACGTCACAAGAAGATGTACAGCTGTGATTCCTGCATTGGGAGGTTCATTGCCACAAGTCTGAGGCCAGCCTGGCCTACATAGAATGTTCCAGGACAACCTGAGTGTTGTAGCAAGACCCTCTTTCCCTCCTTGTCCCCCTCCCCAAAAGGGAGCAGCACTCCAGCTATTCCTGGAGCATCTTGCCTGTGGGAACAGGAGTCAGCAATGGATGCTGCTGAATTCTGCCGATTTACTTCCTGCTCAGCTCCTTCCCTTCCTTGCACATCTGCATGTCAGGGATAAGATTTTCCTCTCACAGTATTTTTCCGTGGAAATGTAACGACTTATCAGAGAAGAGAGAGGAAGGACAAAAGCCCACCTTTTTTAACAGTTCAACCAACAACCTCATTTTCTTGCAACAGTTGAAGGGAGCTTCTTATGAATAATGGATGATTGCCTGATGAATATGCACAGCCCATTATGCCTGTGAGGTCTGGTAAATAATTTATGAGCTAAAATGTTCCTCACCTTGTCACTGTACAAAAACTTAAAAAAAAAAAAAAAACGAAAACCCACAGCATATTTCCCCTTTGAACTACAGGGAGATCTGTCAGAGCCGGTGACGGCAAAGCAACTTTACATCACTGCTAAAATTAAATAGAAAGCCCTGCGTGTGCAGCTCTGAGAGGATATTAAACACAGAGCACGCTTTGGCTAGACTCCTTGCCTCATCCATGTTTTCTAAACTTCTGGGTCCTCACCTTTTTTTGGGGGGAGGGGGTTGAGACAGGATTTCTCTGTAACTTTGGAGCCTGTTCTGGAACTAGCTCTTGTAGACCAGGCTGGCCTTGAACTCACAGAGTGCTGGAATTAAAGCCACCACCACCCAGCTCTGGTTCCTCACCTCCGCCTTGTGTTGTCACCAGAAAGGATTTTCGCCGGTCTCCTCATGGGGCTTCAGTCTGACCTGTGACCTATCTCCCTTGTCTTAGGAAAACTGGCCCTAACAGGGCGATGGTGGCGCACGCCTTTAATCCCAGCACTCGGGAGGCAAAGGCAGGCGGATCTCTGTGAGTTCGAGACCAGCCTGGTCTACAGAGCTAGTTCCAGGACAGGCTCCAAAGCCACAGAGAAACCCTGTCTCAAAAAACCAAAAAAAGGAAAAAAAAAGAAAAAAGAAAAAGGAAAACTGGCCCAGACTGCATTGGCCCTGCTCCGCTGTCTGCTCTTCACAGCGGAGAGGCCTCCTGGAGACTGACTTGAGCCTCCGCTGTGTCTCCTTCAGCTCACACCCTCTAAGCCACAGCACTGGGTATCCTTAGCCTTGGGGCGAGAAAGGGAAGGGCAAAGTTGCCCGTGCAACTGAGGGAAGTGTTTGGACTACATTCATGGATCCTGGCAGAACTTGGCTTCTCTATGACATATTTAACATGGCTTGAAACTGGGTCAATTTTCAAGTCGTGGAAGGTGGGAACTTAAGGTTTATCTGCTAAGATTTCAGGGGCTTTTAAAGCAAGCACCGTGTCAGTGAAGGCTCTCAGTGCTTGTCACAGGTTGGGTGCCTGTGGGAGATGAGGGAAGGACGGGAAAGTCCTTGCTATCTGCCTTTTAGGCAAACCGGGTACATTTTCAAGAAACAGAGGTGCTGGCAAAAGGCTCGGTGGGTAAAGGCGCTTGATGCTAGACTCCCTACTGGAAATGGATTCCCCAGAATCCACTTACATGGCGGAAGAAGAGAACCAACTCCTATAACTTGTCCTCTTGCCCTCCGAAGGAGCACTCCGACACACCTTTCTCTCTGAGTAAATGTAACAAAAGAAACAGAATAAATGACCTACAAACTACAAAATATATTACAAAGTTATTGGGATAGTGATGTAATTAAAGCAAAAACCCATTTACAACAATGTGGCATTTGGACTTAAGAAGGATTCTTAAAGAAAATAAATTTTCAGAACAGTTTGCCAGATACCCTCCTGCCCCTAAAAATCCAATTAATTAGAAAGAATTCAAGATGTGTGACCCAGCCCCATGTGGGCCCCACCTACCTTCCAGCCCTCTTTTGGGCAATTCTTCTGTCACTTCCTATGCTCTAGCCTGCTATATGCACAGTATGACTTCTCTAGCCCTGTTCAGATATGAAATCCAAATCCACACAGGACCTTTGGGAGGTGCGTAGCTCATTGGTGCATCCAGAACATTTCCTAATCCCTCGCCACTGTGGGAGGTTACTGCCCGTGAAGCAGGATCCTGGGTTCTGGGTCCACCATGATCTTCAACGCCCCCCAACCTCTTAAAATTTAGTGCTGAGACCACAGTTGTAATTAGTTAAGATTTATTTTTATTTATGTATTTGTATGTGTGCCAAGCATGTGCTAGTACCCACTAGGAAAAGGTTCCAGGTCCCCTGGAGCTGGAGTTCCAGGTGGTTGTGAGCCACCCTCTGTGGGTGCTGGGATCTGAACTCACGGAGAGCACCAGGAACTCTTAGCCACTAAGCCATTTCTCAAGCCCCCCCCCCCCCCCCCCCGCCCTTTGTTTAAAACAAAATCTTCTCATGTGATGGCCTGGGAACTCATATGTAACCAGGCTGGCCTCAGACTCCCGGGTGCTGGGATTATAGGCACATACTGTCACCCACAGTTTAATGTGTAGGCAGAGACTGACCCCAGAGCTGTGTTGAGCTACATCCCCATGCTCTTTTTCCGAGTGTGTGTGTGTGACTTTGTTGTCCAGGCTGGTCCCTAATTCACGGGCTCAGTCCATTCTCAGCTTCTTCAGTAGCTGGTCCTACTGGTAGGGATGCTGCCAGGACGGCCAGTGGGAGAGCTGGGATGAAACTCCAAACTTTCTGGTCCTTATCCATCTAGTCCCCTCGCCTCCTCACTGGCCCCAGGAAACAGCGACAGGCCCAGCTCTGCCGCAAACTTCAGTGAGCAGAGAGCCTGTGGGTGCCAGCAAGATCCAGGCAGCCTGGAGTGTAGCTGCTGGTCGAAACCACCCGGAACCGCTCCCCTCTCCTCTGCTGGGCTATGCGCTTCCTTCCACTGGGGTTTTAAGGGACTGTCTGGCTCTCCACTGCCTTTCTCCTAATGCTGCTTCTGCACCATCTACCTCCAGGTCATCCAAGAAACGTGGGTGTGGGTGGGGTGAAGGGGAACATTAGATTGACAACAAGCCGCTTAACTGTTGGAATCCACCTTCTCTGGCTTTATTAACCTCTCTCCTCTTCCCCCCCCCCCTCCGCCCCTTGGTCTTCCTTCCAGTTGTTCATTACCTCCCAAACCTTCGGTCCGCAGTCCCCCTCTCAGCCTCTAAGCCTTCTCTTCCCTTAGCACCACGACCACCGAGCTTGTTTTTCTTTCTCTATTACACCAAACTTTTTATTTTCACACCTTCTCGATCGTAACTAGCCAGCAGGCTGTGGTTAGGACTCCGCCCCTCCAGGAAGGTGGGAAGGTGAAGCGGCTCGGAGCGTTCGGGACCCTGGTCCCCTCTGGGATGTACCACGAGGGCACAGCTGCTCCCGAGGCCCTGCTCCACTGAGCCTGAGCGTCATCCGCACTCCCATTCCTTTCCCAGGCTGGAGGATAGACGTGAACTTGAGGTTCGCCGTTGAGAAAGGCAGTTGACGACCGGGAGAGTCACAGTTGGACACTGACCCAATCCTCGGCTGCAGGGAAGGTGACCGGGGCCACAGATCGAGACTCCAGTGCTACTCTCTGAGAGGGTCGAGTCAAGTGGCCCCACAGGCCCTGGGTTCTAGTCCCGACGGGGCCTGGAGTTCCTCCCCACCCCCACGAGCCGTTCGCCGCTCCCCAGACCCCCTCCCTTTCCAGACCGCCGCCCCCGGCGGCTGGCGCGGGAGGTGCAGCAGGCGGCAAAGCGCTTTGCATAAATTATGCTCATGACGCAGCAGCTAAAAAAATCCAAGTAGCAGAAGGAGGGAAAGGGGGGGGGAGGGAGGAGGGGGCGAGGAGGGGACTGCACCTGGCCGCCCCCGCCCCCGGCGTCCCGACCCGCGCGTGGCCAGCAACCCACCACTGCTCCGCTCTGCCAGCCCCGGCGGGGGGCTCGGGGGCGGCGGGTCCCGAGTGGCTCTGGGCCGAGCGAGCCGGGCCGAGCCGCTCCGGCTTCTTTGTCTGCGGGCGGCAGCCTCGGCCGCGGCCCCCTGGCCCGGGCAGGGACATGAGTGTCTAGTCGGTGGCCGCTGGGCAGCCGGGGAGCGGGAGGCTGGGCTTCGGGCTCCGGTGAGTAGCGGGGTCCGGGGCGGGGAGGGCTTTGCACAGAGGGGGAGGGGGCCGGGCAGGGGAGGTTTCGGATTTGGTTAATATGCAATGCCCGTAATTAGCATAATTTATATATTTATGATAAAGAGGAAAAAGGCGCGGGGCCGGGGCGGCGGGCTGCGGCCCAGGAGGCGGGAGCTGTGGGAGCTGACGGCCGCGCTGTCCCCTTGAGGACGCAGACCCCGGGCCGCGCCCTGGTCCCCCGGTGCCCCGCGGACACCCGTGGAGGGGCGGCTGCCAGAAGGACGCCCTGCCCTAGAGCCCGGGTTGAGTCTCGGGAAGAGGCTTGCAGAGCCCTGGAGACCCGGACGCTTGGATTTGGGCGACCTGTCACCACTTCCCCGGAGAAAGGGCGCCAGGGACTCTGGGGTAGAGACCTCGCTGTTGCTGGAAGGATGGGGAAGTGGTGGGAGGGTCACCGTCGACCAGAGCGTGAGCACTTCATAAATATTTAATGACAGTATTAGTATTAATAATGTCATAAAATGGGCCCCGTGTGTCCTCCAGGGACATTTGCACCTGGCAAGGCCGAGGGCTCTCCAGAGTGGCTTCTAACCCACTTGAGCGCTCAGATCGCCACCTGGGCTGGGCTGGAAAGCCTAAAACCTTTACAGAATAGTCCCTGCGGCTGTCAGGAGGAAATAAAAGCTTGTCAAGAAGCCTTGCTAGGCCAAACACAGGAAGCTCTAGCAGAGATGGAGAAACTGCAGCCTCTTCGCTCTAAGTTCTTACTCGTAAAACAGAAGGTTGATCTTCAGTTCCATACCTCCTCCTGTCACTTTGGTAATCCACGCCAGTCAACACTGACTGGAGAGAGGCTCATATGTTTTGATTGAAGTTGGTGCTCAGGGTGATGTTTGTGTGACCCAGACAGTAGAACTACATTAATTGGTTCTATAACCAGTAAGGGCCACACGAAGACAAAGCCCCACACCTGTCCAGGAGTGAGCAAATGGATCATAAACACCAAAACAAACCAGAGAATCCGGAGAGGGAGGAAGGAGGAGAGAAGGAGAAAGAAAGGGAGGGAGGAAGGGAGGGAGGGAGGGGAGAAAGGAGGGAGAGAGGCAGAGAGAGGGAGGGAGAAAAAGAAAGGTAGAATGGAAGGAGGGAGGGAGGGAAGGAGGGAGGGAGGGAGAGAGAGAGAACCCTGGTTTTCTTTTCCTCCTTGAGGCACTACTGGCAGCTAAGGAAAGGTGAGGTTGTGGCTCAGAGCTGTAACCCAGGCAGAGGGGATGATGAAGCAGGAGTATCAGAGATTTACATAGTGAGACTGCCTCAAAAACTAAAGACAAAAAAGCCCCGAAACAAACATCAACTTCAAACAAAACAGAAAGGGGGCGCTGGCTAGCTGGCTCCGCAGGTAAAGGCCTGTGCTGCCAAGCCTGCCACTGGATGTTGGATCTCTAAACCTCACATGGTAGAATCCAAGAAATGACTCCCACAAGTTGTCTTCACACGCAGGCTGTGACACGGGCACACCGTGGTACTCGGGCTCCAGCACGGTACACACACAGACTAAGAAATAAATGTCAAAAAAAGAAGAAAAGCAGCAAATGTCAAAAACAAACAGGCAGAACCAAAATCTAGCAACAGCAACAAACGACACAAAAAAGCCAGACAGTGGTGGCGCACACCTTTAATCCCAGCACTCAGGAGCCAGAGGCAGGCAGATCTCTGAGTTTGAGGCCAACCTGGTCTACAGAGTGAGATCCAGGACAACCAGGGCTGTGCAGAAAGACCCTGTTCAAAACAAAACAACAACAGCAAGAAAAACAAAATACTAAATAAAAACAAAGGAAAGAAAGTCTAGAGATAGAGCTCAACAGTGTATTACATCTGTACAATTCACACACACACATTTGAACGCACACACACACTCAAACATATGCACACATGAACATACACACTCAGCCTAATGATGGTAAGGAGAAAGTACATATCACAAATTAGAAGACACTGGAGCTATAGCCAGGTGGTGGTGGCGCACATCTTTAATCTCAGCACTCAGGAGGCAGAGGCAGGCGGATCTCCGTGAGTTCGAGGTCAGCCTGGTCTACAAGAGCTAGTGCCAGGACAGGCTCCAAAACAACACAGAGAAACCCTGTCTCGAAAAACAAACGAAGAATAAGAAGAGGAGGAGGAGGAGGAGGAGGAGGAGGAGGAGAAGAAGAAGAAGAAGAAGAAGAAGAAGAAGAAGAAGAAGAAGTTGTTGGTGGGTGGTGGTGCTGTGTGTGGTACTCGGTGCAGCACTGACCTAGCATGCACAGGGAAAATTCAAACCCAGAAATGAAAATTAAGAAATAGAAAAGAAAGAAACGTGTTTTCTAAAGGTTCTCTGCTTCAAGGGAAAAAAAAAGAAACACGAGTGCGGTGCACATGCTTTTAATCGTAGCTTTGGGAGGTAGAGGCAGGCTGGCCTCCATGAGTTCAAGGCCAGCCTGGTCTACAGAGTGAGATCCAGAACAGCCAGGGCTATGCAGAGGCCCTGTCTCCAAAGAGAGATCAGCAGAGAGAGAAAAGAAAAGAAAACAATCTGGCGTAAACTCACATTTCCTCCATGCTTAATTACCGTGTCATTATAACACGAGCGCTCGGCTGTAACTCCACGGCAGAGCGCATGCGCTGGGTCCACCTTCCTGTCCCATAAGTAAACAAGTAAGTAAAATCATAATGGTAACCATTTACATTTTATACTATTTTATGATTTGAAACGTTTTGTATGCATGCTTTGTTTCAGTTAAAATAACAGCAGTAGTAGAACTGGGGATGAGACTCGGTTGGGATAGCACTTGCCTAGCCTACATGGAGCCCCGGGTTCCATTCCCAAGGCCCCATTAGCTTAGTATGTGCACCTATAACCCCAGCACTTGGGACTGGGAGACAGGAGGACAAGAAGTTCGAGGTCATCTGCAGCTAGGTTAGAAGTTCCAGGTCAACCTGGAATACATGCAGCTTGTCTCAACAAACAAACATGCAAACCAGAACAATAAGAGTAACACTGATATAGTGTCTGCGTGCTAGGCCCTATTGTTACGTAAATATTACCAATTTAAAGCTGGACATAGTGGCACAAGAATGTAGGGATCACTTGATTAGCCTAACGATGCAGAAAAAACCCTGGCCAAAAACATTCCCTTGGGGGCTGGAGAGGTGGTCCACAGTTGCAAGCACCTGCTGCTCCAACAGAGGACTGTGTTTCATTTCCAGCAGCCACACGGCACCTCCCTACAGCCTGTAAATCCAGGAACAGTAGGAAAATCTGTAGAGAAAGCAGATGAGAGGCTCCCAGGGGCTGGGAGAGGCAGTGCCAGTGGAGTTTCGTGTTCCTGAACTAGAAGTGCTCCTGGATGCACAGCGTCGTGAGTGTACAGAATCCCGCTGAAAGAGATGCTTTAAAACCCCAGAAGTGCTGGCCCACACTGCTAATCCCAGCACTCAGCAGTCAGAGGCAAGTGGCTCTCAGAAGTTCTAGGCTAGCCTGGTCTATGATGAGCACTTGCTAGTGTGCACCAAGCCTTGAGTTCAACCCCCCCCCCCCCCCCCCCCCCCCGCATCACAGAGAGAGTGATGAATAATACAATAAAATACTTAAGCTGGTGAGCTCTCTGCATGTGACTTTATATTTGTTGGGGCTGCTGTAACAGAGTATCGTCCCCGTAGCTGGTAAACAATAGAAACTTTATATTTGTTGGGGCTGCTGACACTGTAGGCTGGAAGGCGGAGGTCAAGTTGTCTAGTGAACTAGCCTGCCTTCCTAATCTCACCTCCCAGACACTCTCATCTCTTCCGTCTGTCACCTCGGGGTTTATGATTCCAACAGATGAACTGAGAGGGAGGCAAGCTTTCAGACCATAGCAGAATTTTACCTCAGTTTAGAAAAGGCTTGTGGGGCTTTGGTTATAGTCTAGTGTTGTAGATGTGCAGATAACTTGAATAATTTGTTCAAGGCCCTAGATTCAGTCCTTGGGATGACAAAAAAACCTTACAGGAGAAAAAGGTAAAGTATGGTATAGAACAGTGTTCTGGATTCCCTCAAGTGTGACGATAACATCCCCAGTCCCCAGAGTGGAGATGAGTAATATGTCAGTGTTACATAAAACACTCATCCTACAGCAGGTACCCAAACTAAATGTCAGTTACCTTTTCTCCTACACAAACGTCTAATCTGTTTGCCTACTTTTTAAAAAAATGACTCCAGCCAGACAGCCTGTCCTCACACGGGGTTCACCCACTCTTGCTTCCTGCGCCTGGCAGGCTATGCCACCGCTGGGAACACATTGCCTCCTGTGTACCGGACAACATGGTCCCTGGACCATCCCTGCAGAGTCTCTCAAAATCCACCAAAATCGGAGGCTCCAAGGGCTGTGGGGAGGGGTCTAGGAAGCGGCATTTTTTGGTCTAGCTCCAGAGAGTCAGAGCACCGGGTTGAATTCTCTCTATTGCCTCTTCAGGAAGCTGCCCAGGGAAACACTGATGTCCAGAACCCTCCTCTCGCCTTTGCCCAAGGTTCCAAGTGTCTCTTAGCTCCACCTTGGACTCTTGTGGACTGGGGGACCCCAGTGACAGATGACCTCCCTCTCTCCTTTGCCTTCCTAAACACAGTTCTTCTGGGTTCCCCTGGGTGCGGGCTCTCCAGGATGCTGGAGTCTTCAAAATTTTTAGCGTCTTGCGTTGTTTTTTTCTGTGTTCTCAGGAGAGCCTGTCTTCTCTTCTCCTACTGTTCTATTTCTGACTTTTCTAGGCAGCCTTGAAACTTCAGCGCCTCAGCTCACCAGCCTTTGCTTTCCTACCCAGAATGCATTAGGTGGGGACTGGCACCCACCCCACCCGGCAGTGACCATGGATCCTGGAGCTGGCTCTGACTCATCTCTGACCGTGAATGAGCAGGTATCTCCTGGGGGTGAGAAGTGGGAATGCTGAGGGTCGTGGCCTGAGGGGTGGTATGGCCAGGGAGAAGGACATAATGGGGCCTCTCACTGTCTGTCTCTTATTAAAGTTTATGATCACTCGACCTGCCCAAAGGAGTGTCTACTAGAATTTCTTGGGCGGAGTTTGGGATCTTAAGTTGCAACTTTGAAATTTAAATTAAACTCCACTGGGTGGCTGGAGAGATGGCTCTGCAGTTAAAAGCTTTGGCTGGTCTTGCAGAGGACGTGGCCTTGAGTCCCCACACCCTCGTGGCTACTCACAACCTAGTTCCAAAGCATCCGATGCCCCCTTCTGGCCTCTGCAGGTGCTACATGCATATGGTGTGCAGATATGTATACATGCAGGCAAAACACCTAAAATGAATACACATAAAATGAAAAGTAAGATCTCAAACACCTGTACACAAATACCTATACGTGTTTGAACAGGTGACTTCGTTTTTCTTTATGCTTCTATGTATTTTCTGTGATTTCTGAAATACTATGCCTTAAAAGAAGAAAACAAATCAGCGTCCTTTGAAATGAAATCGTAGTGAAATCCCCCAGGTCAAGGTCGAATCTGCCAAAGGAACCTGCTGTGGTATATATTCATTCCTCTTGATGGCTCCCAGAAGCCTTTTCTGGCACGGTCGGTCTATGGCAGAGCCAGTTTCCAGGCTGCAGGGCTGGAGCAGTTCTAACCATTATTGATGATGGACACAGCTCTTTCTCATGGATGGGGTTCACTGGGGATTCTGAAGGGCCAGGATGGTGCATTTCAGTGATGGAATAAAGAGCTTTGTACAGGGTGTGCAGGGTGTTTGAGCAGGGACTCGCGGAAGGTGCCCTCGCCCTTTGAGAACGCCGACAATGGACATGAGGTCCTTGGGATCCACAGAACAGGGTAGGGTGGGGCAGGAGAAACTGTATTTGGTGATTCTTGACACTTCTTTGGGGAATTTAGCTTGCAGGGAACTTGTGGTGTCTGAGTTTAGAAGTTACTCAAGGGTTGGAGACATGACTCAGTAGGTAAAGCATTTGTAGCATAGACAGCCCGAGTTAGATCCTCAGGACCCACATAAGATCGCTGCATGCGGTGTGTATGTCTGTAATTCAGCCCTCCTCCCATGAGTGAGAGAACCTCCTGGAGGAAGTACACAGCAAGGTGAGAGGAGAGAATCCCTGAAGGTGTGTAAGCACTGTGTCATGCGTGCATGCGTGCACACACAAGAGCATGCACACACCACACACAACATTAATGAAGACAAACTGTAGAACACTGTGGAACACTCAGTTCCCACACTCCCGCTCTGGGAGCCTCCAGGTGGTCTCTAAGGGAAGTTAGGACAGATTTCTTCCGGGTCTCTAGTACCTCAGTATCCGAGAGGATGCTCTTGCAGGCTCCAAGAATGAGCCATTTCCCACTTCCTGAGATAAGTCCAAGATGGGGAACAAACAGGAATATCTCCAAATGGTTTGACTCTGTGGCACTTTTCTTTCTGCCTCCAGGGCCTGCTTGCTTCTAGCAGCTCCTTGTTGGGAATCGGGGACAGTAGCCTGGCCCAAATTCTGGCCTTCTCAGAGTGCCCGTTCTCTTTATGAGAACTCCACATGCTGAATCCTCCCATCCCCAGAGCGCTGGCTCCTTTCCCAAGCGCTGTCCCCCATCCTCTACTTGCAGGTCATTGTGATGTCAGGCCATGAGACCATCCGAGTGCTGGAAGTCGGGGTGGATGCTCAGCTCCCGGCTGAGGAGGAGAGCAAAGGACTAGAGAGCGTGGCTGCTGACGGCTCCCAGAGTAGAGGCCCTGCCGAAGCTGGCGAACCTGCTGCTGAAGCCGGGCAGCGCGACCCAGACCACTCTGCAGAGGCAACTGGTAGGAGCCTATCGCTAATCTGCTGCTTCTCTCTCATGGCCCAGGTGGCCCTGGTGGCTTTAGGGCCTTGTCTTCCTGCCCGTTTGGCAGCCTCTGGCCACAGTCCGTAATGCTGGCCAGTTTCCAGGATTACCTTACCCTCCTTATATCTAGAATTGGGTTTCTTTGCACCCATGCCTGAACTGAGATGGCTTTGGGTGAAGATCGGCATGTCTGGCCTAGAGAGGCTCCTAGGTCTACACTAGACCGCCCAAGCCAGGGAAGGAGAGAGACTCTCGGGATCCCTCCAGCTTCCCAGTTAAATCCCGTTTATAGCAGAGCTGGGAGATCCCAGGAGCCGAGGGTGGAAGGACATCTTGTCTCCCTTGAGCTAAGGATCAGATTAGGTGATATCCGACATTGCCTACCTCCCTCCACTGGGTTTACAGGTGCCGTCCTTCAACACTGCCGCCAGGGTGTGAGCTGAGTTCTCCTGGCCTGACGTAGTTGGAGAGTCACCGGCAGCTTAGCTGTGGGGGCTGTCCCTTGTCTTTCTTCGCCAGCAGTTGTTGCATTTTGTAAGGATCCTTGGACCTCCTCACCACTTTCCTGAGTCCCACGATCCATCTCTGTCAGGCTTCGGCCTTTCTTTCTTTTTTTAATTCTCCGACATTCTTATACCTGTGTACCCTGAACTTTCACCTTCCCTGAGCCACTGAACCCCTTCTTCTACTTGGCTGTCTGTTCTTTTATATTTTTTAAAGGCCATCAAGTTTAACTGTCATTGCTTGCATAAGCATGTGTGAAGGGTTAGTTACTGGAATGTGGACAACTTACTAGTGGCTATACCACTGAAGGAACTGACCAGTACTTATTTGTGGCCCATAGTTCCTCAGTAAGAGGTGGATTGACCCCTTGCTGGTATTTGATGTATTGGTGACAGGCCTGGTCTTGTTTAGGTAACCACAGCTACAGTTAGTCCCTAAGTGCAATAACTGTGTCATGTCCAGAAAACAGACTCCCAGCACCCCAGAGTCTCTGGCTCTTCCATTCCAGCCTCCTCTTCTGAGCTATTCCCTAAGCCTCCGGGCGCTGATACAAATGTCTCGCTTAGGACTGACCAGCTCAGGGTCTCTTACTCTCCATGTTCTGACCCTCTGTGAGTCTGGATCAGCCCCCACCCACTGCAAAAAGAAGTTTCTCTGTTGGAGAACAAGAGTTCACTAATGTCGTGACTGGCAGTTGGGTACCATGTCCTCGTCCTTCTATTGCTTCAGAGATGGGGCACGACAGACAAGGTCGCTGTCCCTGCCATCCTTGGGACTCACAGGGCCATGTGGAATGGAATCTTTTTTGGAAAAATTCAGGGAGTTTCTTGGGTTTATCCACAGTGCCCATTTTACCCATTTGCCCATTTTCTTGACCCCATTTTTTTCTGGTGTCAGGATTCTCCCCTGCCCCAGACCTGCTCTCTCACACCACAGCACAAGTGTTATTATAGTGGTGAGCGTTTTCTCTCATAGACGGCTTCCTCGGAGTCGAGGAGTGTGAGCCAGGGCAGTCAGGTGACGGGGTATTTGAGTGAGTGGGACTGTCTAAGTGGCTGTCCACGGAGACCAACTGGGTCCTTTCGGTAGCTGCAGTATTAAGACGGGACGGAGCCATCAAAACAAGCCCAGGTAATAGGAACCTCAGGGTGAAGAGTCTAGTGGTTCACGTCCCTCTGACTACATCCTCGTCACACGCTCTCTCCATTCTTGTGGTGCAGGAGGGTAGACTCTGGAATTGAGACACACCTCGTGTTCTTTCATCTGCTTTTTTTCCATTAATTTTTTTCTTAGATTTATTTCTGTGTGTGGGTGTTGCGCCTGCATGTACCACTTGTGTGCCTGGAACAGTCAGAGGTCAGAAGAGGCCATCAGATCTGGGATTGGAGTTTTATAGATGGTTAGCGTTACAGAGCCATCGTGTGGATGCTGGGAACTGAACCAGGGTCCTGCACAAGTGTAGCCGGCGCACTTAACAGCCGAGCCGTCTCCCCACGCCGCGCTATGACCATTTCCTGTGCTGACATGCTCTCACACCTCTGCTTTGGATTCGGGTCACCCTCGGCTATTTTATCCTCAGAAACAGTACTTCTTTCAGTGTGTTTGTACTGATCTTTATTTCTTTATAGTATGGTCCACTAAAATTCCTTTGAAGAAAAACTACTTGTTAAAACTGAGTGTTGTGGCACAAGACTATAATGGTGGCACCGAGGAAGCTGAGAGTCTGAGACCCACCTGGGCTGGATAGTGGTTGCCAGGATAGCACCGGCTCTAGTGTGAGACCTGTCTCACAGAAAAAAGAATCACTTATTGACATAGAAGGAAATTTTAAAAAGACCAGTTATTAACAATAAGAAAAGGCGGCTGGGCATGGTGGCACACGCCTTTATTTATTTATTTTTTAATTTTTAATTTTTTTAATGATTTATTCAACTTTATGTTCATTGGTGTGAAGGTGTCATATCTCATGGAACCGCATTTTCAGACAGTTGTGAGCTGCCATGTGGGTGCTGGGAATTGAACCCGGGTCCTCTGGAAGAGCAGTCAGTGCTCTTAACCACTGAGCCATCTTTCCAGCCCCTGGCACACGCCTTTAATCCCAACACTCAGGAGGCAGAGGCAGGAGGATCTCTGGGTTCGAGGCCAGTGTGGTGTAAATAGGAAGGAGAGACCCTGTGTCAAAAGAACAAAGAGCAAAGGAGGAGGAGTGGGAGAAACCCTGGCTTTAAGGTGCTGCTCTCCTGATAAACCAGAAAAACAGCGAAAAGGGACTGAGCCTGTGGCTTGCTAGTGTAGCTTGTTTAGCCTGCATGAGGTTCTGGGTTCAATCCCCTCCACTACATACAAGTGGGTGCAGTCACATGCCTAGGTAATCCCAGGAGGTAGGAGGTGGAGGTGGGGTCATCAGAAGTCTGAGCAAGTAAAAAGAAAAGAACAGTGATAAAAGTGGAGCCAGGTATACAGGCCAGGCCTGTAATCCCCACACTGAGGCAGGGCTGAGGCAACAGGACTGCTGAGGAGTCAAGGCTAAGTTCAAAACCTGAGTTCAAAACCAACCTGGGCTACAGCGCGAGACTCCCGGCTCAAGGGGAAAAATACAAAAGCTGACTAATCTAAACTCGGTGGTATTGTGTAGAAACAAGTGTCCCATCTTTCTGTAAAACAGGCCGGTCTTGAACTCATTGTGAATTCTCTGTTCTGCCTCAGCCTCCTACTTACTAGGGTTAGAGAATCACACTGCTGGCTGTGGTCCTGCTTTGAAACTGAGCCCAAATAGGCCGGCGTTTCCTTTCTCTGCGGTAGGCTTTTGTCCCTATCACATTCGCACTTTCTGTGCTTCCTTTCACTGATTTATTATTTATGTGTGTGCACACACAAATACAAACATGATAGGCACACATGTGGAGGCCAGAGAACAACATACAAACTTGGTTCTCTGCAAGATTGGACCATCTATTATCTATCTATCTATCTATCTATCTATCTATCCATCCATCCATCAATCTATCATCTATCCACCCATCTATCCATCCATCCATCCATCCATCCATCCATCCATCCATCCAGGCAAGCATTCTACCATCCTGCTGCATCCCCAGTCTTAGATTCCTATTCTTGTCTGATTTATGATATTATAGCTTTTGTCTCATTGTTGCGGGCTGTGATGAGGTTTCCTGGCAGGGCACCCCAATTCCTGAATTGACCAACTCAGAGGAGGTGAAAGCTTGCAGTTCCTGGAACATTCTTTTGGAAGCTCAGAGAAACCACCCTTTTTGAACAGCAGAGAAAAACTGAGTGGCCTGAGGAGCTGCCGTGACCCTACAGTGTGACAACGATGTGCCCGGTTTTCAGGGATTTTGCACTTTTAGGACTTGCCCCTTCCCAGGCTTCTGAAAACAGGACAGTTCAGTCACTGTCTGAGCCTAGGACAGCGGCTATTTTCTCTCAGCTCTGGCTTTTCCATCCATGACATAATTTGCTTCAGCTGCTATGTGACAGACCACAGTGTCATGCAGAGCCCCACATTCCCTTCCACAGATATGGGAAGACAATACCTCCCTTCCTGGTGCGGCCCAGGGCTCTCCAGCCTCCTAGGCATTACTAGCAGCACTCAGGGAGCTGCCCCATGGGCCAGGGAAGGCTACCAGCTGGCCCGAGACTATGCAGAAGTAGAGCATGGGGCTGCAGACTGGATGCTCCGGTCACCCTCAACGCACACCAGGCTCACTCCTGTCCTTTTTTTCTCTCAATGTCACCTGAAGTGAAGTCGCTGCCCGGGATCCCTCCGAGTCCTGCCCCAGCCATTGCCACCTTCAGCCAAGCCCCAAGCCAGCCTCAGGCATCACAGACCCTGACGCCTCTGGCCCTACAAACTGCCCCCCAGGTAAGGGCCACATCCGGGAACCAGACAGAGGGCAGTGGGCAGGAGCAAGCATGGGGTGGCCATGGGGTTGGAAACCGCATGAGGCAGGGCAGGACGGAGGCTGTGGCTTGAGGGAGGAAATCGCCCACTTAGGTATCCCAGGCTCCCTCTGCCCCAGATCAGGGAAGAGGATGTGTGGGTTGCTGCTGGACAGCTTCCCTGGGTCCAGAGGGGATTAGGGTTAACTCTTTCCTGGGAGAATTTGTGCTTATCTGATAATGAAATGAATAAGTACCAATGTCAGCCCCTTCAACAGAGGAAGAGTTAATGGATTGGTCAGTCTTCAGTTAAGTTATAATACTGCCCAACCAATGAAGGGACCTATAGAATCCCACAGGCCAGCGGAGCCTGAGTGACCTCTGCTCGTGCACTGACCTCCAAGGCTTCTAGCCAGGGTGCCCCCCATTAGAGCCTCTTGGAGGCCTTTGTGGGCCCTTGACCACTTGGGAGCAGCCTGTGGCCCCCATTCCCTGGCCGCAAAACAGTGGGTGCACTAAATGGCCAGCTCTGAAAACACACATACAAGTGACATTACACAGACTGAGCAGGTTGTACTTAGGGCTTTGGGAACACACACACACACACACACACACACACACACACACACACTAATAAAAAAAACGAGGCCATATGAAAGAGAGTAAGGAGCTGAAAAATGGAGACTTTGGAGAGAGGAAAAAGAAGGGGAAATGGTGTGATTGTTTTCTAATCTCAAAAACTAAAGGAAACAATGAGAAAGAACAAACACTGTACCTGCAAACACGCCCCGGGGAAGGTCTAAGAGGCAGCACACTGCAGGGGGCCGTGCACCCTGACCCTTGGAGGCAGGGCCAGGCCTTTTCCTGGGCGCCTCTCTGCAGGCAGGATAGTCTGGTCCAGACACCGTGGGTTAGGCCTTCGGCTGGGGCTGCTCTTGCTTTCCTCGGGCCTTTGTCCCCCTGCCCTCAGAATGCTTGCTTATGCTCAGCTGGGTCCAAGAGGCCCCTCGTTTGCGCTGTGGATGTTGATTTTTTTTTTATTTTTTCTTTTCTTTTTGAAATCTTGTTTGCTTTTGCAGGTCTTGACTCAGGAAAACTTAGCCACAGTTCTGACAGGAGTTGTGGTTCCGGCAGGGGCGGTTACTCAACCTCTTCTTATCCCCATCAGTATTGCAGGTCAGGTGTCTGGGCAGCAGGGGCTGGCCGTGTGGACAATCCCTACAGCAGCCGTGGCTGCCCTCCCTGGACTGGCCGCTGCGTCTCCTACCGCGGCAGTCTTCAAGCCACCGTTAGCTGGGCTCCAAGGTAACGGCAACTCTCCCCAGGACTGCACCGGGCCCCCACCACCCTACACTGCCACCCCTGCAAGTGTGCTTACCATGTTGGACTCAGAGCCTGCAGTCCACCTGGGGTAACAACCCTGGATTCTGGATCCAGTGTCATAGGCACCCAGCCACAGAGCCGCTGCACCGCCTCGGGACCCTAGGCCAGGACACCAGGCTGGCCAGCAGGCCTGTCTTCCTGCAAACAGCTGCTTGAGACTGCCCCCTCCCCCCACTAGCATCCACCCCATGACCAGCAAGACGGACCGCAAGAAGAATCAACATCTGGTTCTCGAACCTACATGTCTGCTGACCCAAGGGAGGGGGGATAAGAGATGCTGGCGTGTGTCAGCCCTTCAGGAATCAAGGGAATTGCAGCTGCCCCACGCCCAGTGCCCCCAGTGTCCTGTCAGTTTCGTACCAGATCCCTTGGGACTGGAACCAAGCCGAGTCACGGCTCGGCCCTTGAGCGCCTCTGTCTCTGCCTTGCTCCATAGCAGCTGCCGTGCTGAACACCGCTCTCCCGACACCTGTACAAGCTGCCCCACCAGTCCAGGCCTCCTCGCCCACCCAGCCCCGGCCACCAGCTCAGCCCCAGACGCTGTTCCAGACCCAGCCGCTGCTACAGACCACGCCTGCCATACTCCCACAGCCCACTGCTGCCACCGTCTCCGCCCCCACCCCGAAGCCAGTGGACACCACTCCACAGATCACCGTCCAGCCTGCCGGCTTCGCGTTTAGCCCAGGGATCGTAAGCTGCTGCCCTCACCCAGGGCTCCGAGGGATGGATCAAAGCTTGGGCCAAGGGTGGAACTTCCCCCACAGTGGAGGACCAGCCCCTTGAATACAGCCAATTTTGATGCATCAGCAAAGATGGGCTCCCTCTGAGGTCTTCTCCTTTCACCTGTCAGCCTGTCCTACCCAGACTAAAGCAAGCAACGACTGGGGAAATACTCCAGACGGAACTGCTGGACCAGCCTTGGGGGCCGGGCACGCAGGAGCAGCTCAGCTTCATGCTGGCATCTATCCTGTGTGGCTCTTGGTTTGGGAGCAGAGAATCAGGCATGACTTGGGGGCACTTTTGTTCTTCTAGTCTGGTCTTCTGCCCTCCCAGACCTAACTGGAAAAATCAGTAGAAGTCACTGTTCTGTGACTGCCCCTCCCTGGTTCCCCGCTGTCCCCGTACTTGTCCCTCTAGCCTTGACTATTTAGCCAGTGGACACCCTCACCACTCAAAAGCCTCAGCCCTCTTTCCTCTCTCCGGTCTTTCTTGCCCCTTGGCCTCTGAGCAAGGCTCTTCCTCTACCCACAGATCAGTGCTGCCTCCCTCGGGGGACAGACCCAGATCCTGGGCTCCCTCGCTGCGGCTCCAGTCATTACCAATGCCATTCCCAGCATGCCGGGGATCAGCAGTCAGATCCTCACCAATGCTCAGGGACAGGCAAGTGAGAGCAGGGCTGAGGGGCGGTGGCTGTGGGCGGCTGGCTAGGAAGGGCTGAGGACGTGGTCTTAGCAGGGCGTCGGGCTGCTGCTGACAGCCTACGTGAGTCCAGGAGAGAGTGTAGTCGCCACTCCACCCTGCCAGTGCTGGCTCTAGTGGGGGATTTTATCCACACAGGTCCTGCTTTGTGGTCGGGCCTCACGCTCCGTGCATTCTCATGTATTATCTCACTGAGCACAAACCTGTCCAGGGATCTTTTGTTTTATGGGAGAGAAGGGTAAAATTCAGAACTACTAAACCCCACAGCTAACATGTGCTAGACTAGCAGAGAGTTTCCAGTTCTCTGATATACAAAAAACCCTTCACCTGCCCCATCCCAGCTCTAGGGACAGCAAAGAAAGGAAGGCCTTGGGTGTGAGTCCTGTACTCTGCCTGTTGAAGAAGCAGAGGCCAGAATGCCTAAGCAGCTTCTCAGAGTTAGTCTCTTTGCCTGCAACTGTGGGGATTTGAGTTGGTGATCCTGGATGCCCCATGCCCCTCAAATTTGGGGACCATGCCTTATTTTCTCCAGGTTATTGGAGCACTTCCGTGGGTAGTGAACTCGGCTAGTGTGGCTACACCGGCACCAGCACAGAGCCTACAGGTCCAAGCCGTGACTCCCCAACTCTTGCTGAATGCCCAGGGCCAGGTGATTGCAACCCTAGCCAGCAGCCCCCTGCCTCAACCTATGGCTGTCCGGAAGCCAAACACACCGGAGTCCCCTGCTAAGAGTGAGGTACCACGGCTGGGGGTATGGATGGGCACGGGAAGGCAATACTGTGTAGCATGGCTACTTCCCTCTGAAACTTCTGGGAGAACAAGGCGCCTCTCAAAGTGAGGACCCCCCACAGCAGAAGGCTTATATAAGTTCACACATACCCCGCCCAGGGAAACAGCTCCCATTCTCAGGCCGCTACATACCGCAACATGTGTCTGTGTCCACAGAGGTCAGAGAGCACGGGAAATGAGTGAGCACAGCAGATTGGACTCTAGAAAAGCTAGAAAAGCCCCGGGTTGTGAATTCTGTACCCCACACACTGGGCATTTTGACTCTTCTTCGTTTCCATTTTAGAAGAGATTTTGAGTGGCCGTTATGTTCCAAATGCTAAGGATGACTGGGATTGCTTGCTCCCTAGGACGCCTTAGGTATGAGGGAGACATGCATAAGGACTGTCGAACCCCACAAATGAGCCCCGACAGGCTGGGGTCAGGACAGCTCCAGAGAGGAAGGATGAGTTGAATGTAGCATGTGTTGTCCCTGGGAACTGGGCAAGCATGCAGCCAGAGTGGGGGTCTCTGTCTTGTGCACTGTGGTCTCCTGCAGGGGTCTGCAGGACGAGTTCCCAGATACGCTCTCATTAGGCCCACGATTGTCTAATGCTATATGTTTGCCTCCAAGAAACTTGTAAATGACCCTTAGCCTCATCTGGAAGGGAGTGGCTATAAGAATTCCTACTTCTGCTGGGTGGTGGTGGCGACACCTTTAACCCCAGCACTTGGAGGCAGAGGCAGATGGATCCCTGAGTTTGAGGCCAGCCCTGGTCTACAGAGTGAGTTCTAGGGCAGCCGGGGCTGCACAGAGAAACCCTGTCTCAAACAAAAAAAGGGAGAGAGAGAGAGAACAAAAAAGGCTTAAGTTTGGGGGCTGGAGAGAAGGCTCAGCAGTTAAGAGCACTGGCTGTTCTCCCAGAGGACCCAGGTTCAATTCCCAGCACCCACATGGCGGCTCACAACTGTTTGTAACTCCAGTTCCAGAGGACCTGGCTTCCTCACACAGACATATATACAGGCAAAACACCTGTGCACATAAAGAAAAAAAAGACAAACAAAACAAACCAGAATTCCTACTTCTGCCATGCATGGTGGTACACAATGTGTAATCTCAGCCTGGGCTATGTAGGGAGTTCAGCTTGCATTATGAGATCCTGTCTTAAAACACAAAAACAAAAATAAGACAAACAAAAATCCTCTCCAGAGTTTATGAATATTAGACCAAAGAACTGACACTCTGGTGTACGGTTAGCTTGTGACGGTAGTGCTGACCCTCATCATGGCAGGAGCTGCTGCCAGGCTCTCAGTGGCTGACAGGTGTGCTTCTTAGACCCGGACCCAACTGACAGATGTGCTTCTTAGACCTGCTTCCTAACTGGCAGATGTGCTTCTTAGACCCGCCCCCAACTGACAGATTGACAGGTGTGCATCTTAGACCCTCCCTAACCGACAGGTGTGCATCTTAGACCCGCTTCCAGCTGACAGATGTGCATCTTAGATCCGCCCCTTTACGTTTTTCCTTTTTTATCTATGCTGCTGGGGATTGAGCCCAGGGTCTTATTCATGCCAGGTACAGCATTATTGTCTGGTTCTCTGAGCCCTAGTAGTTCTAGGGAAAGACTAAAGCCATGTCCTGGGGACTAGGGGATAGGTTTGAGAGCTTGCAGGAGACAGAATCCAAAGAACAGAAAATCCAGGAAAAAAATGGATTTCCTAAAACGTTTATGGTTTTTTATTATTTTGTTTTACTTTTGTTTTTGGTTTCTTGAGGAAGGGCATCATTGTCTAGCCCTAACCATCCTGGAACTAACTATGTAGCCCAGGCTGGCCTAGAACTCAGAGACCCACCCGCCTCTGTCTCCTGAGTGCTGGGGCTAAAGTGTGGCACCACACTGGTTGGTTTTGCTTTAAGTCATACTAATAATGCTAATTTCAGATATTTGTAGTTTGTCCTGATCATAAATAAGATACATAACTTTAATTAACATTACAACATTATGTATCATATAAAAAATAAAAATCAAAGCCAGGCAGTGGTGGCGCACGCCTTTAATCCCAGCACTCAGGAGGCAGAGGCGGGTGGATCTCCATGAGTTTGAGGCCAGCCTGGTCTACAAGAGCTAGTTCCAAGAAAACTAGGACTGTTACATAGAGAAACCCTGTCTAGAAAAACAAAACAAACAAAAAAAAGAAAAGAAAAGAAAGAAAAGGTAAAAAATGGGCTAGGTAGATGGATCAGTGGTCCAGATGCCCATTGTGGGCTAGGTAGATGGATCAGTGGTCCAGATGCCCGTTGTGGGCTAGGTAGATGGATCAGTGGTCCAGATGCCCATTGTGCTCTCTGCGGACTGGAATTTGGATCCCCTGCACCCAGGTAAATGTTGGGTGAGTATGGTGGCCCATGTGTAACTCAGCACTCAGAGGCAGAGGACTCCAGACCAGTCTCCTAGCCACACTAGCCAGCCATGTCAGTGAGTTCTGAGCTCAACTGAGAGAGACTGCTTTGGTGAATGAGGTGGAACCCCTAATGTCAGCCTCGAACCTCCACTCTCATGTGGCACACATATATACCCACATACATGCAGACATGTACACACGCAACACAGATGCATGAGAGAAAAAATAAGAATTAAGACAGGTGTGGTGATACATACCAATAATCCCAACATTTGGGATGTGGAGGCAGGAGGATTATAAATTCAAGGTCAGCTTTGGACACGGAGAGAGAGCAAACCCATCTCTTGTTAATGTTATCAGATAGCTTCTAGTTCTGCTTTTGGATGGCCCCAGGTGGGAGTGCCTGGGTAGCTCAGAATTTCCTGTCCAGCTCTCTCCTGGTGCTGGCTTCCCAGGGATTGCAACCCCCTAAGTTAGGCATGGGTCATGGAGCTTGTGTCTCTTCTCATAGGTGCAGCCTATCCAGCCGACGCCAGCTGTGCCGCAGCCTGCAGTGGTCATCACCAGCCCGGCCTCAGGAGTCAAGCCCTCTGCCTCAGCTCCTATCCCGATCACCTGCTCCGAGACCCCTACCGTCAGTCAGCTGGTCTCGAGTAAGTGACTCGAAGAAGAAGAATGTGGATCTGGGGTACCGGGAGGGAGCACCTCTAGTCCCAGCTGCTCTAAGACTGGGATGGGAGGAGTCTTTGAGTGCAGGAGTTGAAGGTCAGCCTACTGAGGCCCTGTCTCAAATCAGTCCATAAATTCCTGGTATCCAAAAGGAAAGGGTAAAGGGCCAAAGCAGAAAGATGGTAACTCTCAATTTCTTTTCCATTTATTTGTTTGTTTGGGATTAGGGGTGGGGTGTGAGTATCCACGGCGTGCATGTGGGTCCCACTCAGGTCTACAGGCTGAGTGGCGAGTGTCTTTACCCACTGAGTCTCTTAGCCTCTACCAGGAGGTGGCTTTCTTCCTCCCTTTCCTGTTGGAGTGGCTGTGAACATGGTGGAGGTGAGGCTGCTTAGCTGTCCATCTAGTCACGATTGCCACTGGCTAGCTCAGTGTGGTCTCACCCAGTTCTGAGAAAGACAGATAGCCAATAGGTATGCCTGGGACCAGACTAGGGAGCGTGGGAGAGGGTGAGCAGTTAGACCTAAGAATAGACCACCTCAGTAGCTTGTTCTAGAGCCCTTTCTTGCAAGTCCTGCTCGTCAGGGGGACGCTGTGATGAGGGTCTGTTGGTAGAGGTCCCCATCCCCTTTCCTACACCAGGCTAGACCCATGGCCCAGAGTAGCATGATGGCTGTCTTCATGTACTCCTCCTGGTCCTTCCCTCTGTCCCAGAGCCGCACACCCCGAGCCTGGATGAGGACGGGATCAACTTAGAAGAGATCCGGGAGTTTGCCAAGAATTTTAAGATCCGGCGGCTCTCCCTGGGTCTCACACAGACCCAAGTGGGCCAGGCTTTGACTGCAACAGAAGGTCCAGCCTACAGCCAATCAGCCATCTGCCGGTAAGTACGAGTGTCCCCAGATAAAGCCAGGATAAAGCTCCGTGCCATAGCCGGCTGTCATGGGAATCCAGGAATCCAGTCCCTTTTCATGTTTCCCCTCACGCTGACTCCTTCCAGATAAGGAATACTGTCCTGTTGAGGGCATGGCCACTTGGAGTAGCCAAAGACTGACCCAGGCTTCTAAAGTTTAGGTAGACTCCAACCCTGAGTATTTAGATGTTCACGGGAGGGAGGCCACTGAAGCCTCCTAGCAGGAGAGAGTTATGACTTAGAAACATGCTCGGTCTTGGCCCTCGGCTGTCAGTCCCCTGGTGTGCTCCTGCTGCCTTGCCTCCCACGCCTGCCAGGTCGGCTCAGCTTGAAGGTGCAGCAGGCCTTGTTCTGAGGCTGCCATGGGAGCAGTGAGAGGAGAGTGGCTCTCTCAGGAGGCCATCATTTGGGTCTTTTGATGATTCAGGACTTCAGTAATTTGGGGGTGAAAGTTCTGGTCAAGGCAGAGCGTGCTGTCATTTGCCTGCCTACAGAGGCTGTGGGCATCTCTCCTTCATGAGGCCTGGGATATGGAAAGTCTGAGGAATCTGGGCTTTGAGGGGCCAGGAGGGTGGAGACACTGAGAAGGAGGGGAGAGCCCCTGTGAGTAATGTTTTCCCTCATGAGCGATGTATGGAAGAGCTAGCCACACTGTCACCGCTCCTTCTCCAGGTTTGAGAAGTTAGACATCACACCCAAGAGTGCCCAGAAGCTGAAGCCGGTTCTGGAGAAGTGGCTGAATGAGGCGGAGCTCCGGAACCAGGAAGGCCAGCAGAATCTGATGGAGTTTGTGGGCGGTGAGCCCTCCAAGAAACGCAAACGGCGAACCTCCTTCACGCCGCAGGCCATAGAGGCTCTCAATGCCTACTTTGAGAAGAACCCCCTGCCCACTGGCCAGGAGATCACCGAGATCGCTAAGGAGCTCAACTATGACCGTGAGGTGGTACGGGTCTGGTTCTGTAATCGACGCCAGACACTCAAAAACACCAGCAAGCTGAACGTCTTTCAGATCCCTTAGGGCTTCCTCTCAGCCCTTGTTCCAGCACTTTCTACTGTTCCCTCAGCAACTGGCTGTCGTCACTGTGGCAGTACCGTGTGCAGCTGAGCTTGCCCTAGGTCATGAGACTCCACCTGTGCATGTGTGTCAATGCCTGCCTCTTCTGCCCAATATGTCACACCCTGGGGAGGCCCAAGGGGCTGCATGAGAGCCCTAGGCTCTGGGCTGGGCACATGGAAGGAGGGGATTTATGGTGTTCTCTCAAAAAGCACTTTGACAACATGGTTTCTGAAGGGTATGTTCTGGTTGGGAACCAGAAAGGCTCTGTCTTTGGGGTGGGGCTGTAGCAACTCTTGGGGACCGCTGTGCACTAGCTCTTGTTTTTGGTGGCACTCTCCACCCCTTGCCCTTAGCTCCTCCAAGGTTGTACCAGTGTGACAGCTCACCCAGCCTCACACTGCCCTCTTTTACTTTCTACACAGGCACATTAACCCCCTTAAAAGACCAAGGAGATGAAGTTCAGAAGTGTGACTCACTGTCTGCCTTGACCTCCAACAGAAAGTCCCAGAGCTGTGGGGTCAGATGCTGGGAGGTTCCTCCTGGGGTCCTGGGTGGGATTGCACTAACGCAGAAACTTTCCTCTACAAACCAAGTGGGAAGGGAAGCAACAGCGAACTCTCCCATCCTGGAGAGTCTTAGGTCTGTCGCAGGTCTGGAATTTAGTAAATAAGGCCATCCACCCAGATTTTAATCTAATCGTCATCTGTGACCATCTCCCAAGGAAAGCTCTCTAGGGAGCTGTCAGCTTGGGAACATTTCCACTGCCCACTCACACAGGCAGCTACAGGGGGCGCGGATACCCTCTCTTATGCCCATACCCATCTCAGTCCAGCACTCTTTAGAGGAACAAACTGAGTGAGAAGCCAGAAAGCAAGGAGCCGGAGTGAGGAGGAGGGCAATGTTCAGAAAGATGATGGTCCAGGAAGATGTCTAGTTGAGGCTGGCTTACCTCTCGCTTTCTTTGTAACTTTAAGTCTTGGATGTTGGAGTTTTCACTTTGTCAGATTGCAGACCAGGTCTGTGTGTGACAAGCCCCGGGCCGCTCTGCCATGCTCCTCTGAGCCAAGAGTGCCCAGGTCGGTATGGACTTTGCCTCCGTAGGTGATGGCATGCTGGGGGCTAGCATCATATTCAAGTCTCTAAGTGAGCTTCCAGCCACAGGGAGGCTGGCCAGCCCTTTGTCAGTGTGTTGGCTGGAGAATGTAGCTCGGTGGGAGAGAATTTAGCACTTACAAGGCTCCAATTCAGTTTCTAGCACTAAGGAGAAAATTAATTAGTATTTGGTTTCAGGAAGTCAGGAAAAAGCTAAGATAATTGCTTGAATGACCCCAGAATTGCCACGTAGACTGTTCTTGTCTACAAGGATAAGGACAACCAGTCGCTACTTTTTATTTTGGTTTGTTGTTTTGTTTTTTGAAATAGGATCTCACTTAGTCCAAGCTGACTTGAAACTTGTGGTTGAAAATGACCTTGAACTCCTAATTGACCCTCCTGCCACCGTGCCACTGCGCCTGGCTCTTCTCCACTCTCAGCCTTACAGAGCCTGCAGTCTAGATACCCACCTTGCACCTCGTGTGATCTGCCCTGAGGAAATGACAGTCAAACAAACATTACCTTCTCTGCTGATCACAGTGCAGAGACACTGAGGCCTCGCTTCCTCTCCTCTTGGGTCCTGCAGTGCCAGTATGGAGAAGCAGATGGTAGCTCTCCTGTGAGATGGGGACAGTAGTATGTGAATTAACACACACACACACCACGGCATTCACATCAACCAAACCTGCTGGGGTCTGCAGGGAATAAGGAGGCAGGTGCGCAGCTCTCCTGACTCTGCCTCCCAGGACAGCGCGTCCCCAGAGGGGGGAAGGCCGTCTCCTTGGCGACTGTGATTGTCAGCTGCTTCCGTGAGGTGGGAAGTCAGGAGGGTACTGCACGTGAGTTTTCAGTGTGGATGCTTACATCTTGGAGCTTATCGAGTGACTCACTTGAGAAATTATATGCAGCTTTTCTTGCTCGAAACCTGCACTCAAGAGTGCTGTTTTCTGTGGGGTGGCATGTTGTATGAAGTGTGGCCATGCTGTGGCCATGCAGGAGGATGATCTAAATTAAACCTGGCCATGCTTTCTCAGCCCGTCCTTGGTCTAAACTTGTCTTCCCAAGGCTGGGCCAGAGTAAACCGTTTTCTCCTGTGTAGGAAAGATGCATTCGGAACAGTAGGAGAGCCCGGATGTTTACAGGCTGGACTTCCCAAATGCGAGGTGCAAGGTATGCATTAAGTGCCCCCAAAGTATAGTTTACTTTGACCTATGAACTCTGCCTCTGCTCCCCCAGTCTGAGCCACTAACCTACAAGGTAGTTTTTGTTGTTGTTTGGGTTTGGGGAACATTAGACTCTAAAAAAGAGTTAACAGTTTTATTTCGAAAGCACCCTCCTGGACTTAAGCCCATGCACAGTGGCTCTCTTGCTCTGGAAGACAGGAGAATGGGCAGAAAATGGTCAACTCTGTGGTTGGCTAGTTTGAAGTGGCAGGAAACTAGAACTGTCTACGGCCTGCTGAATCAGCTGGGCTCTTTGACCCTGCGCTAACTATGGCGTTTTTTTATCCAAGCAAAGTCCAGAGAAGAAACTGGTCACGTGAACTGTAAATGCACTTGAGTTTGGAATGAGAAAGCCTGTTGTGTTTGTGTTCTTGAAAATCCAGTCGCCTTCCTATGCCCAGGATTCCCTCCCTGCCTGCTAGGCCAGATTCTGGCATTGATGTCCTGATGGTCTCCCCGCAGGGGGCATTGCCCCTGGAAGCTGGGAGAACAGGGGAGAAGCACTTGGTGTAGTTGTGTGAATAAACACTATTTTTTCTTTTGTATTGCTCTGCCTATTTTGTTACATCTCAGATGTGAGGGAGCCGAGGCTGCGTCAGTGCTGCCTTTGCTGCCGAAGGCTTGCCTAGAGGGACAGACAGGTCAGAGCCCGGTTCCCACATCACGCCATCCTGCTTGGGCCTTCCAAGCTTTGACTCTCCCTCTGGGGATGGGGGTGTGCAGGGCTAAGAGGGCATGCCCTTTTTCTCCTAAACTATCCTTCTGGTATTTAGTGTCTCAGAACCTCCTGCTGAGGCTGCTTTTGCATCCTTCTTCGACCCAGTGACAGGCTATGCTGTTGGTGTGTGCGCTTCCAGTTCATATCCAGACTGTAACAAAATCCCTCATCTTGAGCAGCTTTTAATAAGTGAAAGTTCCTGCTTATAGTTTTGGAGCCTGGGGCCTCTACCTGGACGGAGCCTGGTGTCTATCTGGTGAGGGGGCCTCTACCTGGAAGGTGTCTATCCTGTGAGGGCCTCTACCTGGAAGGAGCCTGGCGTCTATCTGGTGAGGGCCTCTTGCTCATAGATGGATGTCTTTACATGGAATGTTTTGTGGTAGAGAGAAACATGCTCCCTCGGGCATCTTTTTAAAGGGCTCCGTGCCCTCATGACTTAATCAACAGTAACAACTCTTGATTTATAGAGCTCTTTATTAAAATGTGCTGTGTGCTTAGCGGCTTCTTCCCCAGCCTGCACATGTTCAGGACAGGCCTGCCTCTGAGTTTGAGTTAAAGAGTCAGCTGCCGAGAGGGTTCCTCTTGCCCCATCCACCTCTAGGAGTAGTAGTATTCATGCCCTGTCCCTCCCTGGCTGCCCTCACTCAAGAGGGTTCCTCTTGCCCCGTCCACCTCTAGGAGAAGTATTCATGCCATGTCCCTGGCTGCCCTCACTCAAGAGGGTTCCTCTTGCCCCGTCCACCTCTAGGAGTAGTATTCATGCCATGTCCCTGGCTGCCCTCACTCACCTGGCGTGGATGAGTCTGAATGGAGTAACCTAGACTGGCAAGAATAAGTGAGCCCTTCACTCCACTTCATTCTTGATCAGTTCTTCCTCCCTGCCCAAGCCCAAGGGGTTAAGGGATGACAGAGTCTGACCCAAGGCTTGGGATATCTCAGAATGGAGTTGGTCTTGGTCTTGAGTTTTACTCTTCCTTTCTACCTACCAGAACTCTGAGACCTATATGCCCAATGCAATTTCCAATTAATATTTAATACCTTTGCCAAACTTTGAGATACTTTGGCCACGAATGCCAGGCAGTTGGCAGGCCCCAAGGCTAGAGAATTAATTCCCAAGGAAGGTTTTGTGTGGGTGGGGTAGGCTTCCTCCTATCCTGAGAAGGTGTGCACAAACACCAACAGGTACTTCTAGCCCATAGCAGTAGGCCTGATTTCAGTGAGGTCCAATGTTCAGTGCTCCTCAGGTCCATTCCCTCGAACCCAGGTCCCTTGAGCTATGCTTCCTGCCCCTTTGGGCTTTACCTGGGCACAGGGGGCACATCTAGAAGTGGTGTCTTTAACCAGTCTCTCCACATTTGGAACATGATAGCTGAGTCTGAGGAATTCAGCAGCTTTTGTGGTCCCCTAGGTGTTGTTGGTAGAGACCCAAAGCCAGTCATCTTCCCACACCCATGAGTGGGTGTGCCGCCTGGCAGTGTCCACTGTCCTTGCTCATCTTGTGTGGCCAGTTCCTGTTCTACCCCGTCAGTCTCTCCTGGGGTGTATTCCAGATGGCTCAGTAAACCAGCAGGGATACCAAGACTTAGAGAAGATGCACTAGTTCGAGGGTCACTTCCTGGGTGGCACGGCAGTTGCTCTGCTGCCTCTGGCTTCAAGGGGGTCCCCCTTTTGGTGTCCTTTACAATGGACATTGGCCACCCTTTTAGATAGCTCCCAATAGTGGTAAGATTTATTTTTTATTTCTTTTCCTACTGAGGTCAGCAACCCCCTTCCCCTGTATAGAGCCCCGTGAATATGAGTCACAATGAAAGCAGATCGACGGTCAGTGTATATGCTGACAGCCTTGGCTTTCTTTCCCAGATCGACGGTCAGTGTATATGCTGACAGCCTTGTCTTTCTTCCCCAGATCAACGGTCAGTGTATATGCTGACAGCCTTGTCTTTCTTCCCCAGATCGACGGTCAGTGTATATGCTGACAGCCTTGGCTTTCTTTCCCAGATCCACGGTCAGTGTATATGCTGACAGCCTTGGCTTTCTTCCCCAGATCGACGGTCAGTGTATATGCTGACAGCCTTGGCTTTCTTTCCCAGATCGACGGTCAGTGTATATGCTGACAGCCTTGGCTTTCTTTCCCAGATCCACGGTCAGTGTATATGCTGACAGCCTTGTCTTTCCCAAGCAGAGTGCTTGAAGCAAAGCTCAGCCCATTGAGCTGAAGTTCTTCTGCTTAAAGACTATGCCTCGGGTCATCACTGCTGCCCCTGCTGCCCCTGCAAGCCTAGTCCAGTCTTGGATGAAACTGTTCTGGTCTGTGAACAATTGGTAATCTGGTGTTGCCAACAGGTTATCAGGCAGATCGTGGCTGATGAACCAGATCAGGGAAGTCACCTTAAGACAGTCATGCAGGGATTCCATAGGGTCATTGTCCATCAGGAGAACGGCAGAGCTGAGGGCTGATGTCTTCTGGAAACAGATTGGAAGTTAATGCAGAAGCAGGGCTTGGTGTGGAGACACCCAGGTATGTCCCCCTCAAGAGAATGTGGGGCTGTCAGGGACAATTCTTGCCCTAAAATCAATTTGTCAGCTTCTTTTACCAGCAGTGATCTCCTAGTTCGAGTTTCTATTGCTGTAAAGAGACATCATGATCACAGCAACTCTTATAAAAGAAAACATTTAATTCAGTAGCTTAAAGTTCCTATGTCTAGTTCATTATCATCACAGTGGGACACGGTGGCATGCAGGCAGCCATGGTGCTGGAGAAGCTGCTGAGACTTCTGCATCTGGATATGCAGGTGACAGGAAGTTATCAATATCACTGGGTGTGGTCTGAGCATGGAAGATCTTAAAGCCCACCCCACAGTGACACACTTCCTCCAACAAGGCCACACCTCCCAATAGTGTCACTCCCTTTGGGAGCCATTTTCTTTCAAACCACCACATTCCACCTCGCCCCCAGAGGCTTGTAGCCATATCATAGTGCAAAACTGCATTCAGTCCAACTTCAGAAGTCCCCATAGTCTATAGCAGTCTCAAATTTATTTAAAAGATTAAAGTTCAAAGTTTCTACTAAGATTCATGTGATCTCTTAACTGTAATCCCCTGTAAAATTAAAATTAAAAAGCAGATAGCATACTGCCAACATATAATGGCACAGGATATACACTACCATTTCAAAACATAGGGAAGGGGGTATAATGAGAAAATACTGGACCAAAGCAAGACTGAAAACCAGCTGGGCAAACTCCAAACTCTGCATCTCCACGTCTGATATCAAAACACTCTTCAGATCTCCAACTCCTTTCAGCTTTGTTGACTACAACACACTTCTTTCTCTTGAGCGGGTTCCACTCCCTGGTAGCAGTTTTCCTCATCAGGTATCCCCTGGCTCTGGCATCTCCAACATCTTAGGGTCTCTATGGCAATCCAGGCTTCAACTTCACAGCTTCACACAATGGCCTCTCTGGGCTTCCATTCAGGGACACCCTGACACATGCCTGGCCTCAGCAGCTTTCCTTAGTCTTGGGAACAAATTCCATAGCCCCTTTCTTCAATCCTTAACTCTAAGGCCAGAACCACGTGACCAAAGCTGCCAAGATGTGCTGCTTACTGGGGCTGGAATACGACCCTCTCATGCAATTACATCTTCTCCAGCTTTGTGTTCTCCATGGTTATCTTCACTGCCTAAACTTGGCTGTTCTGAAACTGAATCTGTAGACCAGGATGGCCTCAAACTCAGAGATCTGCCAGCCTCTGCCCTCCGAGTGCTGGGATTAAAGGCATGTACCAGATCTGGACCTAAAATGTTCTTCAATTCCTTTCACAAGCTGGAAGCTTAGCTGGATGGGATCTTGCTCTGAGCTCATCACTTCCCTTTATTCCATTTCTTAATCTGTTTATCTCCTTGAACACAGGACTTAACTCTATTCTCCTTCCTGGTGCTTCTTTTCTCCTCAAAATGTCCATTTTGTATTTTTTTTTCTTGCTTGGATTGCTCCTTTTCTTAATAAATCTTCATTAGAGTTACCACTAATAACTGTAGTGGCATTTCATTTGTATTTTAATAAATAAAACTTGCCTGAATACCAGAGAGTAAAACAGCCCCACTGCCAGTCTTACAGACCTGGAAGCAATGATATAGACCTTTAATCCCAGTAGCCACACTAGCTTACCATAGAAACCAGGAGGTGGTGCCTGCCCTTAACTCAGAATTAGAGAGGATTAGATAGTGGGAGGAGACAGCTCTCGGTCTCATTCTGAGGTATACTGGAGGCAGGATTACTATTTTTGGACTGAGGTCCAGGTAAGAGCCAGTGGCTGGCTGCTTTGCTCTTCTGGTCTTCAGGTTGAACCCCAATATCTGTCTCTGAGTGTTTATTAACAGTGCTACAAATAACCACATGACAGAATCTGTACTAAGCAGTTTTGAGATTTTTTTCTGCAGATGGAATTAATCCAAACGCTTCACTTTAGCCTCAGACAGACTCTTCAGACAAAGGCAAAGGACGATGTCACAAGAGTGATTTCTAGGCTGCATATATTCTTCTCCTCTGGAACTTCTTGAGCCAGTCCCCTATAGTTTGGATCAACCTCCCCACCACTGTCTTCCATGCTCCTACTAGCATGGCCCATTAGGCAGCAATTAAAGTAGTCAACTGCTTTTCTAATCCACAGCCCCACTGTTTGGTTAGAAGTGAGGAGTGTAAGAGGTTCTGTCGAGACAGAATGGGCTGCTCAGATGTCTACCAGGAAGTTCACATATTTGCTCCCATCTTTGCTATCAATCTGGGATCCCAGGGGCCAAGCTA